CACTTTAGAGTTCTGTGGAAATCCAAAATCTAGTGGAAATCCAAAATCTAGTGGAAGTAGCGGCATCGCGCGATACTTTTAGCTCCGCCTCCGCTACCCGCACTTATGAATATCGCGCTCGTGACAGTGACGCATCTAATTTTGGTGGTCATTGGTACAGTGAGTCCGCGCTCAAGCTATTGAGCTATTTTGCGCTAGCGTAGTTTTCCTAAATAGTCACATGCTGATCAGTACGATGAAGTGCATTCCTTTGCCAGTGACCTTCATCTGAGGGCTTTTTGCGAGTCTCGGACGTTAGCTCATGCCGGAACAAAAGTGAGAAAGTTCAATGTTAGGTTGTCTCATGTTATGCAAATGTGTTTATTTTGAAGTCCACGTAGTGGTAATTGACGTTGGTATTACAGTAGGCGAGACATTTCACGGAGCTGTTCACTCCGACTACTAATTAAAACACTTATTGGCATACTTCCTCTTGCGGTTGTTTTCTTATGATTTCTTACTTATAGATGAATCAACAATTTCTAAATACTGAGGCCCATTGAGTAATGGTACGATGGCCTAGCGCTGCTCTTCTAATCGTTTCTGGAAACTCAGAACCCGTTTATACAATGAAAGTTTTTATGCTGCAGAGCCTGTTGTTGTTCTTCCAGAAACCTTTCTTATCCTTTGCATTTGGCAAATGGTAATTTTTATCTACGCTTGCGACAATTTGATACCATATCCTCCTGTTATTTTTGAAAAGGTAAGAAAACTAACCTTCTAGAACCATACCTCGCTGAAGGCATTTTTGAAATCGACAGAACTGACACCTAGAACATGAACAACTAGCAAAGGTGTTCTTAGCGGAAATGAAGAGGAAGTGTTTGAATAGAGGTTCTACTAAGTGCTAACCTGTTCCTGTGTTCCTTCGTCATTGGGCAAGCTCCATCAGCTCCTACACACGAGTATATGCGTTTGTTTTGAACAGTCCTTTTGAAGAAACCCTTGCACCTATAAAGATATATAGATAGGGAATTCAACAAAAGTGATGTTCCTGGATGCGATACCAGTTTAAGTCATTGTGAAACTTCATGCAAATGTCAAATTTGTCTAAAATTAAGGTTTAATTGATTAGTTTCTCAAAAACAAAGCTTTATTCATGACAGGCTCGAAGTGTTCCAATACAACTGGAATTTCAAGGAGGCTCAGCCTAAATATGAATTTTGCAACATTTATAGATTACACAAAGGGCAAATGTTTTCTAAAAGATCTCGAAAAAGGTACTTTGCCATAGATTAAAAACTAAAATTCACAATGATGTTTACTCCGAACGCACTACGTTCAAACGAAATCTGAGCAGTTTCTTGGAAATTTTGAACTTTTAAACCACTTTAAGTGAAATTACGTGTGAGAGAATTGCTAGAGAATTTAGCGGAACTTGTGATAACGGTCGCAGAAAGAATATCTACATTTGAGGACGAATGAAAACCTCCACTGTCAGCGAGCAAATAAGTGAAAAGAATAGGGTCAAGCATGTTTTCATAATTCTGTGGTAATTTAAAAAGGACGCTTGGGATGGCGAGAAATAAGGAGGAAAAATGGGGCTAAGATTTGGATGTTATCGAATACATCGAACCTTTTCTAATAACTAGGGAGATAGATCAACACACATTCATTAGAAAAGCTAAAGGCAAACTTCTCCATGACTAATAACAGAACAATTTTGAGGTTAAACTCACCCCTCACATGTGTATATCCCATAATGCATTCCTGACGAGCGGTCGTTGCAGATACCACAGACGCTGGGTG